AACACTCTCTAACTTTGTAATTCATACAAGACTCAGTCTTTTGTCATAGGTAAACCCCATTGTGGTTATATGCTATGAATAAATCAAGCATGTACTTATAATAGTGACAAGATAAACCATTCTGACCTTAATTACTTGCACTTCCTAATGAAGGAGGAAGTTGCTGCTGTATTTTGACACAGAGGTGATTACATGTATTTTTAAGTACTATCTATAATAGAGACTTAAATCTAAATATATGTACATGTAGTTTATTTTCACTCTACTTTTAATTAGCATTCTCAGGGAGATTAAAGCATCTGGACACTGTTTTAAATGGAACTCTTTTGTTCAGCATGTTTGCAGGTGCATTGTGTTTGAAACTGAACAAGGAAGTAAAACTCAAGATCTCTCTCTTTTCTTTACTTAAAAATATTTAACTACAAAGCAAAATGCATGTTGAATCATTCAAGGACTTCAAGAGTCAGATTCAAAATGCCATTCTGAGCTCTAACAACAGAGCTCTATAAATTACTACCAGGCAAAGGATCACTCTGGTGAAACATAAGCTGATCGAGGTCTAGCAGAGAAATATGAAAATCCAAAATTAAAAACATCAGATGAGTACAGAATTTCTAAGTTAGAACTTTGTTTTACTGCCCTTAAGTATCAAACTTCATAAATATTTCTCACCATGCTCACTACTGAATACTGAGAAATCACAACCTTTTGTAGGGGATTCATTTTTGTTTTTGCAGTATGAATGCACACGTCAATTCATATCCCCCTGGCCCATGAAAAATTTTAAAAATTAAAGCTGATACTGCAGTATCATAATTATGATGTTTCCCATTTAACTGTGAAATTAAATTCCCTCGAATCAGTAATTTTTCCTTAAACCACAAAAATTTGACCACCTGAAAATAACTGATTTTATGGTATATTTATTTTTTTATATCTAAGACTGGTTGCAAGATCCCTTCTTTTATGTCAAACAAGGGGACATTTTGAGGAGCACAATTTAGTCATGACATCCTTTTCTGGCAGAACTTCTCAAGAATATGTTTGTTTTTATAACCAATGTAATTTTTGCAAAGACTAGTTTCTAGGGGATAGAAGGCAAAATTTGATAAATAGAATAAATAAATTAATCTATTGGTTAGAAATTTCAAGATGCCAGAAGTATCTTTATCAGACTGCATTGAGTCAAGTTTCCGTTACATCGCAGATGAACTCATATATATCTACGTGTAACATTTCTGTGTCCTTGACAAGTTTTTTCAATGTACTGGAGTATTTATAGCCAATTTGCCTTTTATTATTTCCTGGTTTTAAGTGTATTTTTTACACCACTTTAATTTTCATTATAATACAAAGTCCTTATAATGTGTGCACTAAAATTTTTGCCTTTAGTGTTTAACAGTATAATTCACACTGTGTATTTGGTTTTAAGTAAGTTGTAAATTGCCTCCAAACTAAACTCTTCCTTAAAAAATATAATTTTTATACTACCTGTTCATTGTGACCAGGAGAGGGTGGAATATTTTTGTAAAATTTAATATACTACATTACACAGAATTTTAATTCATGGTTTTGAAGATGAGGCAATGTGAAGATGCAGGAAAATAAATCCAATTATTGACTTCTATTACTTAATTGGACTAAACTTACTAACCCTGTATGTCATTTTAATAAGTACATTCATATATGTCCATTTATCATGTTTATTTAGATATCAATAAAATTCTCCCATCATATGTCCATGTATAGCTAGACTGCACATTGATAACTTTAGAATTAATGTGGACTGAGTCATTTGAGCGGGAACCAAACACATATAAAAATAAATTCAGAAATAAATTTTGAATAAAGTTTGCATTTAAACATGGTACTACTTTTGTTATGTCTACTCATTCAGGAGATATAACAGAATAGCATCATGGGATTGACAAGTTTTTGACCAATCATTTTCCTCCTGAAGACAGTTTAAAACTGTTCAATCATCTTTTTACCTGATTATTTGGTTCTGCCTGTTGGGAAATGTTGATTACAGTGTTCCTTTTTCTTCATGTCTCGATCTGTCCAGCTGAAAGAATATCAAACACTTTCAAATTTACCTCAATGGCTCAGATCTATGGTATCTAAAATGAAATAACTTTTGCATAATTGATAATACTAATTGTGCTTTATAAAAACTAAAATTTTATATATGATCTTGATTTAAAAAAAAAAAGTAATAAAGACACAGCTAGATTAAGGATGCCCATGAAATATACGCCTTAATATATTCAGAGAAAATGAGTACAATTTTGATACGTTTTTTAACAGACTAAGTTTTGATGAATGTGAATTGTGGTGTTTGCACTTGTACATATATATATCAGGTCTCTGCTGAAGTTCGGCAAAAATGACATCGCTTACATCAGCTGTTTGTCACGTGACAGGTTTAAAATTAGAACATATATGTACTACTACAGACTGTAAAAATTCAACGATATACGGGTATCTTTCTGCTATAAAATTTATTCTGTTTTGTTTGAGACAAATTTCTTAACATGAAAAGTGCTCGGAGCAACTTCCTCAGGAATTGTGTAAAATTTAGCCGTCTTTCTATAAACTCCAGACATAGATGTAAAATGCACTGGAATAATTAATGTTACATTATGGAATAAATAAACAATGCACAACCAGCTCCCAGCACTTTTCAGAATAGAAGGAATAATAGCTACACATGTTTAAAAATTCAGAATTTATAGTGAAGCGGATGTCGTTGAACTTTTGATATTTTCTGAGGGGCTGGACCCCTCATTCTAGCACATTACTGTACAAATGTGTACCCTAGGGCTATATATAAAGTCTATACACATTATCAATTTAGTTTGACAATAAAATGTGGATTGATATATTTTAGAATATGTCTTCATTTTGGTCAAATTAGGCCTGTTTCGTATTTATTTTTATTTTTACAAACTACGATAATAGCTTGATCCATGTCTCAAGTACAGAGAAATTGCATGTCAAACTAAAAAATGACATCATCTCAGTAAGTACAGCGAGATCAAGCTGGCTTTCATTCTACATACTCTAAGTGCTATTTTGGCAAGATAAGTTGCACATCCAATTATCTTTATAATATTTATGAGAAACGAAAGTAATTGAGTATGTTTTAAAAAGAACATGAAGTATTTATTCATCGAGATTCATTTGTATTGTTTTAACGTGACGTCATAATAGCTTTCCCAAACCTCTGCATAAGCTGATGTAAGTATGGGAGTCTTTAACCTAGCTGCAGAAATTAAAACAATCATAACAGTTACTATAACTACTCTTTTACATTGTTACATGTACCACCAATTAGCAGATTTATATTGACCAAAAAAATTAATATATTGTCAAAAAAATATTTGTAAATGATTCTGGATAAATAAAAATGAAAATCCAAGCAGAAAGGCAAAAACAGTGATCTTATTTAAGGTTGGGAGCTATATATGGCACACAAGTCCCTTCCGACTGGTTGCTTTTACAGAGAGACCTTCTCTCCAACAACAACTTCTCTGCCATTAATTGTGCTCTTTCACTCTTAAGACTAATTCTAAATCATAACATACATATGCAAGTTCAGAGGGAATTAAGGGTGGGATATTTCACATTTCACTCCCTAGATCCAATACATTCATAAGCTGCATTTTTCCATCTCAGGACTGCATTTTCCAGATTTTTTTTTTTTTTTTTTTTTTTTTTTTTTGATTTCTAGAAAGACAACTTTCTTTTTATGTCAAATAATGTGCTAAATTTGGCCCATACTGTGTTTTGTCCTTTGAAGTACTAAATCTGTATATTAGATCATGCCAGTTCACTATGCAACTTGATACTTATGAGCTACATACTTATAGCTTGAATATTACCTAGAGATTTATTTAGCTATTTCAATGCAATTTTTCACAAGTTAATTTGTTTTTTATTTTAAATAAAGACAAAAAATGCAAGTATATGACTACCAATATTTCCAATAATCTATGGAGTCTTAAAAAAGCAGCCCAGAGCAAAGAAATTAATTAAGTTTAATTATTGCTGCTTTTGAACATTACACTTTTAAGCGAAAGATCATAAATGTATTTCTTTTATTTGAGTAACTGTACACCACCTTGTGTGTGGTGAGACATGATTATGTACTTCACATTGTGCTGAATTATTAAAATTACCAATAAATTATCACCATGATCATGTTAACCAGAACTTCATGTTCTTCATTGTTATTTCATTCATGAAGTACATGTAACTGTTTGGTCACAAATTAATTGCTGTGTATAGCCCCAAAACTTTTACAATTTAGATTGAAATTGTGCTGAAGGAAACATTTCTTTAACATGTTCAAGAGTGATATTTTTCAAGATTTGTTTTCAGATCACTTCAAACTTGAAAATGATCACTGCATCAAAGAGTGATTTTTTTCCAGTATATCCTTAAAAAATGCTCATTTAAGAAATAAGTATGATTTAGTAGCTTAATAAAGCTACTTCAAACAGGGTAAATAAAGCTATGAAGGTACTTCAAGCTAAACATGCTAAGTGTAGTGATTGTACTGGACTATTCCGAAATATCTGACGTTTTCCAGGCTTTTTTTACGATTTTGATATTTGACGTGCCTGGTTTTCCAGGCACGTCAAATATCAAAATCGTATAAAAAGCCTGGAAAACGTCAGATACTGGATCTGTTGTGGATATCTTTCCTTCCAAGAAACTGCATAAACCGGATGAAATTTCAAAACCGGGACCAGTCATTCACCATACCTACGCTATACAAATTGGGATATTAGGGAACTAACTCTCTTGACAATGGACCAGGCCTATGGTTTGCCGAATCTGCAACTTCTCAATGCACCGAGGAAATTCTAGCTAACAGGCCTACTGACAACACTGTGCAAGCTCTTTTCCTTACGAAATAATAGATGTTTTAAATTAAACTCTCAATACAAAATCTTTTAAGTTCTTACAGGCTTTCATATGATCACTTTACATACCTTAAAAGTGTAAAATGCAGAACTGAAAGTAATATTATTCATGATTACGGATGAAGGAAGTTGTTAGACTTTGATTTTGCCTGGTTTCCACGAGCGGGGACCAGTAAAGAAAATAAGGCGCACTGCGTCCAGTAAATATTGCAATAAAATCACATTTGTTTAGCTTATAAATTTAAAAACAACAGGGACCTATGTTAGTATATAGGTCCCTGATAACAATCTACAAGTGAAAAAAAATAAAAATTGATTTGAATACTGAAAAAAAAAAATTCTTCAACCGGTCAGTGACTGAGTTAGAGTACGTATTGCTTTTGATTTCGCCAGAAGTATGCCTGCAACTCCGATTATAATATTGATGCAGCTGTAAATATAATTAGGCAGTGTAACCTTTAACTGCTTAACGTATTGTACATGTTTATAGTGGAAACCTCCTTCTTTTGAACTTGTTCCCGCCAAAATATAACAAGACACAGGCCCATAGGAAGCAATATTAGAATTACATTTTCAGAACAGAAATTATTCGTTGGCAAGCAAAAGAAAAAAAAAAACGTTTTGAGGGGGCACAAATATATTTAGTAGCTATGTTTTCTATAGTACCGCAAAATTATTGGTGGGGGAGGGGGCACGCTCCCCCCGTGCCCCCCCCCCCATCTCCGGTTCCTACGGCCATAAGACACTAAAAAAAATCTTTCACACTACAGGCACAATATGTATGTTTTAACGTAGGTCGCGGGGTTGGTGACCTTTTAAAATTGCTCGAAAACATACCATGAAAATTACATATATGAATCTCCTACTTTTGTTGTACATTCTCTGAAAATTTTATAAAATTCGTCTGCATCGTTTTTGCGTTATTAAATCCCAAACATGTCATTGTTGTCGTAACATTTTCGTCGTTATTCTATTGAATTCTATAGGGAAAACGTCATTTTTGACTCGTTTTCAGGAAAGATTTCTTTTCAAAAAATCTCAGTAACTTTTAAATGGTGCAGACGAAATTGTTTCCCTTTAGGTCATTTCACCCCGAGATGATTTCAGGTAAATCTATGTAAAAAAAAAAATAGTATGTCTTTGAGTTAGTTTTCTCGTAATTTAAATGCGAATAATTGCTTTTACATTGCAAAATGTAGCATTTTTAAGAATGACGCTATAAACTCTTGCGACGTCACGCATGACATCGTGAATACGGTCCGGTATAAAGTGCAGAAATACAAAAAAGAAGAAAGAAATTTATGTTTATATATATTTAATGTAAAATTTGTATTTAAAATAAGCACAGATGTATGAGTTATGTAACAATGTATCTTGTCTGAAACACCTTGTTTAAGCTGTAACTAGGAGAGAGAGAGAGAAGGCTGGGGGGGGGGGGCTTGCAGGAACAGTACTCCTAGCGTGATTCAGAGACTTTTTACTTACAAGAATGGGGAGCGAATATTAATAAGAGAATAACATTAGAAAAAAAAGTTCAAATTTTTTTGACAAGTAAGAAAATGGGTAATCGCCAAAACGTTAGGGAAGAGAAATGGTGAGTGGTTAAGTACAACTATTATTCAGGAGCAAATGTGGTAGGGGATGAGTATAGTACATAATCTTTTTTCAACAAATACATATTTATTCTCTGTAGAGTTAAAAAGAAACATGTTATATGTCCAATATTCTCCTAAATCGAAGACTAATTTTCGATTCATTTTGCTTGATATAAATCCTAAATAAATAATCTTCACAAGCAACAGCTGAAGTGCTAACAAATAGATTTGTTCTTAATTCAATACTGATCAACGCAGTTTGGACCCCCAACACACTTGTATTCTAGATGTAATTTGCTTCTGATGCCTGTGATACGTATATATCAAGTGCTTTCAAATGATCCGTATACGGGATTTTCATATTGGTAATGCTTATACGAGTACACACGCTGCATACAACTGCTCTTTTAACAGGATGTCGCTGTGGTATCATGTCATGCAGCGTTTTTCCAAATAAATCCCATTCTGCTGGTAAATAAAAAACAAGAAACAAGAACTACTCGTGTTTTATATGAAAAGATCACAATTTTCCACCGAATTTTGTCATTTTTTGAGCGTCCGATTTTTCATTCTCGACACCGTTCGAATTTGTCAAAGTATTTGCAAAACATGGTGTTATACCGGTAATAGTTTAAAGAATTTAATCTTTGATGAGCTTTTTTTAAAGATACTAAGATACACAGCTAGGAACATAGGATGCAATTTTTAGTTGGGGGGGGGGGGGACCTAACAGATACAGAAAAGTTTAGACCCGTAGCAATGGTTTCAATAAGGAGGGGGGGGGGCAACCTAAAAAAACTAATAAGCTGTCCAAATCCTGGATTTGCCAGGCTCGACATAACAGCAACAAAAAGTGTGGGGGATGGGGCAACCAGCATGCATCTATAGGAAAAATACTAAACTCAGAAAAAAGTTGGGGGACCCCCCCCCCAGCTCCCGCGTTCTACGGGCCTGAAGCAGACATTCTTGATGGGACACAACCGCAAATTAGCTCTGTTTTCTAATATGTATCATATTTTCATGTACTGGTAATATTATCGAGGTGGACAACAACTGTAAAATAGCTCGATTTTCTAAAGTAATTTATTATTATATACATTGAAAAAATTATGGGGGCACGCCCCTCCTCAGATTCCTACCGAATTAATATCTTCTTCAGCACGAATTCCTCATACAATGTAAGTCTGCCAGCGATCTTTTTTAATCAGGCGAAACAACTTCATACCTGAGCAGTTTTTCAATTATGATATAGATGTACATGTATTTTTAAAATTTCCTTTTTAAAAATAAAGTTTAAACTTTTGACATAACAGTTGTAACTGCGGTTGTTTATATTATGACGGTTTATCAGTGTAACAATACGTCAAAAGAAAAAAAAATAATCATGCAGTTGACACTTTTTCAGTTGCTCCGTATCTTTTCGTGATACTGTTGTGGTCTCAATGTGATGATAAATTAACGCTTTCTAACGCTCTCGATTTTCGAACATTAAAAAAATCGCAAAAAAGTTTTCAATCTGTGACTTCAGTTTGTTGTACTGAAGAGTTTTAAAAAAATGGCTTACTCATTGTGACGTCATAATCAAATGTGCACAAGAAAGTCGCCCAAATCATATAAATTGCGTACTCAGTTTTAACGACGTCAGCAAACCCGCGACCTACGTTAAGGTCAAGATCTAGTAAATGAGTTTAGACTGTCTTTTTTGTGCTAGACCCATTATGACGTTATAATTGATTTAAACTTCCTTTTTCCCGTACTTTACGGCTATAACAGAATTATGTAGAAAATGACACATTTTCATGGAAATCAAGTTGAAATCAAAAATGTCAAAATGTCAAAATGTCAAAAGTAACCCCGATACCTATATTCAATTTAATATTATTTTAAAGAAGAGGTCAAAAAGATATGAAAAACCGTTTTCTGAGAGACTGTAGGCAATATGGATACATTTCCTTTGACTGAGATGGAGAAAACTCCTATTTTTATACCTGGTTTTCTTCATTTTTCATTGAAAAGGGCAGTATTAAATAGGTTTTTCGTTGAGTTTATCTAAAAATTATGTCCCGATACACCTAAATTTATTTAGCTATAATTGTAAGTTATATTTACAGTACTTTCTTTCGTTTGTAAGGAATTTATTGTACAGAGAGGCGTGGAAGTCGAGTCGCGCAGCGACGAGACTGTCACGCCCCTCTGTACAATAAATTCCTTACAAACGAAAGAAAGTGTCTGTAAATGTCTTGTGTCATGGTCATTTGCATAGTCACTCCTTCAGCACCAAACTGCGCGCGACATTACGTCATAGGCCTAGGTCCATCGTAAGTGTACAGGGTGTTCAAACAAAGCAGAAAGTATGAAAGAGATGGTTGCATCGAAAAATCAAGCAATGTTAAACGAGTGTGCAATTGCATTTGATGGATTAATTTAAGGAGGATGAGTATTTCAAAAACCATAACAAATACAGGCACAATACTGGAAACCTTGATCCGCCCGCACTATGACCCGCTGCATTACTGTTACTATGGATACGCTTGCATGTCCTGAGGAAATCGAGTCAAGTACTCTAGCCACAGGTATCAAAATTATGGTATGTAGTGTGAAATAGTCCAAATTACATGTATATATACGAACATGTATCAGTTTGCATGTAACTCAAAGAAATCAGAAAACAGTTGATATTAAGGGAATCAAGCTGTGCGTTTTCAATATTGGTAGATTTCAATTATCTGTTTTAATTTGAATACATGTATTTCGTGAAATTCTGTGTATTTTTAAAATTTTTGTTTAAAATAGTTAACTAATGAGTTTACATGTATTAACTATTAATCCTCTTGAAAATGGTTTTCACGTACATGCATTTTCAGATTGAAGGGGGGGGGGGTTGAATTATGTGAGGTTTCTCATTTTTCCTCTGGATAGGTTTTATATGCTTACAGAAATTGAAGAAAAAATATTCAAAAAGTATTGAGTTCTTTTGGAAGTTATTGTACAGTATATTGGAAGTTATTGTACGGCTAAGCTCCGCCCCCTAGAAGTTATAGTACGTTGGAATTCAGCCGAAGGTTTTCTATCTGATTTAAAGTATGGCTAACATCAAAAGAAAAAGTACCGCACCATGACACAATAGATCATTCAAGGAATTTGTTTCTCAAATTTGAGAAATCTGTAGGCACTCTTCATTTACTAGATCTTGACCTTAAGGTAAGTTTGATTGCAAGATTAATTTATTTTTGAGTCCTCAGAGCCCTTTCCGGCCCAAATCGAGATAAATTAAATGCTCATTACTCATATCTATCATATTTTTGTTTCTGTGGCCAAAATGTGAATAAAATTGTCTAAATTTGGTAACTTAAAGGTTATTCCGCCCGCTCAGTTATCATGCGCGAACAATGCCGACCGGGCAATGCTAAAATCTTAAGCTCACACATGTAATTTAATCCGTTCAAACGCACTTATGACTACTCTGATATCGCATGCTATTTTTAAAAGTTATGATATTCTTAAAATAATTGGTAAATATTTAATATTTTGTTTGGCACATGTCTAGTTACATGTACCATTGTCCAAACAAATATCGCCGGTGATCCGTGTAACACTTAACAATTCAAATGTCTAAAATGATTTAGACTTTTAGAATATTTATATATTCAGTTCAAATATCTTAAATTAATAAATTCAAAAACTCAAATTGAATTCTGTTTTGAAATTTGATATTTAAGTTCAAAAACCTAAATTCTAATAAATATTTGAGAATATATTACACTTAAATCCACATCACATGTCATATCAGCCCTACCTTATAGCAACAAAAAGTGTTGAGGGAACATCTATAGAAGAATACTATACTCAGAAAAAGGTGTCCCCCCCCTCCGCGTTCTACGGGCCTGAGATGAGAATATTCAATAAATCCTTTCTTCCCAATACTCTTAGCAATTTGTTTTAATACAAGGGAGGCAACTACCATTAAAACTTTTAAAAAAAATTGTCAAGCAAATACCCTGGTATATTGTAAAACCTCAAAAGCATTTTTCATTTATAAATATAATTCTCACAATGTTGAAACATAATTGTATTTTAAACTCCGACTTATTCTTTGTAATTTAATATCCAGTCCAAATTGCACGTGTGGACTATTAAGAAGATTTTTTTTAAATAAGCAACAGGAAGACACTCTCTGATGAATAATTTATTATAATTTCGTAAGTTGTACATTATATTTGTGCATTTGATGCTGGAGGGAGGGGGATTGGTTCATTCTCTAATCAACAAAATGTGTGATCTTTCAAAGTTATTCAAGCTTTTTAAACGAATTTGGTAGATTCTCTATATACAGAATTATATTTTGCATATAATTTTGCATATAATTTTCCCCCAGTTTTTGACAATACTAATGTATTTGTTACAGCTAGATCGAATAATTGTACATATATGTACATGTATGTACTTGAATTATATCTGACAATTTTATAAAGTTTCGTATGAGAAGACTATATCTAAGTTATAAAACTTGTGTCTTATCCTTTTGACTTTGTCAATCACCAAAGGGAAAAAAATTAAATTAGTTGAAAAATAAGATAAAAGCAAACAAATTTTTTAAACCACAAATTAAGAGAAAAAACTGACATAGCCAAAGTTCGGAAATAATTAATTTTGTACAAACACTGTGCTCTAAAAACAAGTAAAACTGAATATTCATTAGAGCAATAAAAGGATTGTCTGACGGGGTCAGTTCACCTTGAAGAAAATAACGTAAATTACTAAGGAAAACACACTGCATATATACTTATATTGCTTATTGATCATTTTTGTTTATATATATATATAATTACATGGTCTAGTTCTGGTATTTTGCAAAAATAATTCTACCATGTTTTGTTTGCTTTTAGCAATAACCGTACCCCGAATTAATGGTTTGATAAAAGGAAAGTTAGCTGTATATAGACGGATTATATGAGAATAGGGGATATACATTTTTAAAAAACAAAACAAAACAAAACAAACAAACAAAATCCTCCGTTTTCTAAAAAATAGAATTTTCTTGCATGGTAAGAAAGTCCAATAATTAACCATAACAGTCCAATAATATTTAGCTTAACCAGTCCAATACTTTTTACTAACACTTTACGCACAATCCAATATTTAACCAAACCAGTTATTTTTTTCTATTTTTTTTTTTTACTACAGTCCAATATTTTACCATAAAATAATAATTGGAAAATCAGAAACGTCGGATTTACCTATAGATAGAATGTTTTTTTTTTTTTTTTTTTTTTTTTTTTTTCTCAGAGATGCTTTGAATAAAGAAAATTCGTCACTTTGTCTGAAATGTGTGTCTAATTTCAGAATTTCCCTCTGACGCGCCATAAGTCGAAATTTGGATGTATAAACTCCATTCTAAAAACGTCTTCAATCAATGAATATGTAACATCATATACAATCATTCCAATAAATATATAATATATTTATATTTCATATATTTAGAATATAAATATTTTAAGTCCAAAAAAATTCAACATCATTGTCTGATTCCATGGTGATTACCAATGAATAAAAAAATATATATTAAAGTGAACGAAGGACATTTTGTGTGCACATCCATGCACGTACGTGCGCGTGTGATGAGTGAAATGACTGATTTACTTGATATGGTCATAACTTTATATTTTTTGATGAAATGCTTTGAAACTCAAAATATAAAGATATATTTAGTGGTCTAGACCGGATCTCTGCATGGTCAAATTAGCATGGACTCAAGCGCGTGGCAAAGACATGTATACACGTGTGCTGAAATCTGATTGGCTAATACTTTATAGGCTGTATCTCTCGTACTATTCAATAAAATACTTTGAAATGTAAGACATTGGTATATATTGTACAGCACTGTAAGAATATATATGTGAGGAATCAAGGAAATTCGAAATCACGTACATGCACGTGTACTTAAATCTGATTGGCTCATGCTCATTTGCTATTCTGCAGGTCCGTAGGTCCCTGTCCCTCTGGGATATATGATACAAAAAGCATTTTCATAGTGGTTAAGATTAGATAGACTTGTTAATAATAGATATATAAAAATGGGACAAAATATCTTATCTTCGTATACTAAATGTTCTTCAAAAACCAAGAGAGGCCAATATGAGAGGGAATTAGATGGGATACTTATAGTTCACTTCTCAAGCACTATATAATAATTCTCTTAAGTTTACATGGCGATGGTGACAGTATGGGTGCAAGTACAGGCAAGCAAATATGTCTACTTTAAGATTTGATACAGAGTACAAGACTAATTAATTTGTTGATCCCTAAACATCCTATTTCTTTTGTTTTGGGGCAACATATCTTTATCTTTCAGTTTATATAATACATGTACTTTTATTTTAAACTTCTATGCTATGGATCCTTTCAGTATTGTTTTATACCCAGGTGACCGTAAAGGCTCTTGGACCTCTTGTTTCACATCTAAGTTTTTTAAATTATTATTTTTATAACTTCTTCTTGCTTTAGCATTCTTTAACAGTGTTATCTATATATGATTTTTTTAATACCTTCCATATGCCCAAATTTGTGATTGTATTGAGAACATTTCAACAGACCAAATATACTGGCCTAAGGGTGTTACATTGATGACATAATACCGGTAAACCAAGCTTATATTTGGGATGTACACTGTAGGCTGGAAACAGAGTGTTTTAGTTTGAAAATGAAAAGGTGAAGAACGAACAGTGATCGATTAAAAAAAATGGTTTCAATGGTTTTCGAAAATTTTCAATGCTCTTCGGCTGACAATATTTTTCGAGGGGTGAACATTTGAAATGTTACCCTTAACTACATGCAGTATTTATCATATTATTTATTTTATTATATTATTGTGAATTATTTATGAAAATATACGTTTAAAAGTGAATTGTTCGCGCATAAATTCTGCGCAGACAACATTTTTTAGGAATATCAGTACCGGGTATCACCCATCGCCAAGCAATGTTGACTGTTGCTACGTTCCATCACTCTGGAGGGCTTGGTTTCATCATTCAGAAGGTAATAGTATATTTTAACAAAATGATTCTTCGACGAATCCGATTCAACTAATTCTCATCACAGAATGTAAGTTAACCTGAACTCTGTGACCAAAACCCATCTGATCTGTTAATTGCTGTGCCCATCAGCACTCGTGTTTGAGCATACTTTTCACATTTTCACTTTGATTGATGACTGGTTCTTTTTCAGTTGTAAATAAGTCTACAAGTGGCTCATTATAAACCTCTTTCACAAACTAAAAATTGAGCAATATCAAATAAATGATTTAATTTCCCTTGAATATTTTAACTTTTCTATTACGGTTGACCTACCCTTTAATCCTTACATTTTTCGATAAGAACTCGTACTTTTTAAATTTCGGGCGCTGTAGTTAAGTCTAAAATATTACTTTTTTTTTTTTTGCCTAAAAACATATTATAAACTATAATGCTATTTGCTTTTATTATTTTTTGCATACAAATGACAGAAACTCAGGAATCAAAGACTTTATACCCACTGATGTGTGTATGAGTTTGGTGTATGTGCGGAGTATGACCGCTGGTATTAGTTGTCCAAAACTTGTTTCCCTTTTTCATTGGAACTACCAGGTGTGCCGTTGTGGTCTGATAGTCCGCTGATTGGCCATGGATGGCCGAATAAACTAGAATTTTGCCATCTACTACTCCTCCAATATAAGCAATAGCCCCCTTCTTTGTCATGTATGTCCAACTGAAAAAATATATCCCGTCCACTGGTGCTGTGAATATACCAGTACTAGGACTATATCCATTTCCAACATTGCTAATCACTTCGTCGTATTTGATAATTTCTTTTTCTGAGAGCCTGCTGATTGCCTTCGTAAGTTTAGCCTGGAAAGCGACGGGAACACCTGCAAAAGTTATATCAAAGGTGTCAAATTGTACAAGAAAAAATGAAACTGTTCTTTTTTTTGGCATACTTTTTATTTAAATTGACCTTCTTGCAGATTTCTGATTTCAGACTTTCCAGCTTTTTTGAAATATGGATATATGGATAACATTAAGAAGTTTTGGGGCTAATTTAGGGCTTAATTTAGGAATTTTATAACTAAATTAGGGCAGATAGATTTAGAGATTAAAATGGACTTTCAAATTTGATGACAAAAGGAAACTCGCAAAGAATACTTAAATAATAAGATGGGCGTCTTGACATTGTCAACTGCCTTTAAGTGCATAATCTGAATGAGAACTGCAAACCACATAGACACATTTAGACATATTTTGTTTGAATGCTTTTTTTCAAAATTGCTAAAGAAGAAATTAAATATATTTAAAAACGGAGAGGATTGACATGATGATGAATAGATTTTTAAAAGGATTTTTTTCCTTGCATTCAGCACTCTTAAGGAATTTCAGCAAACTAAAAAAAAAGTAGGAATTTTAGGGCCCCACTGGCCAGTCTGTGATTCTTACCAGCCTGGGTAAATTAACTTGGTAATCTTAAACGTACAATTTATAATTTTGTATCAGTGTGATAAATAAATAATGATATTTTTACTATAACCTATGATTGTGCTGAATTTTGAATACGTTACTTAAATAAAGATAATTACATTTACAGTACAACAAATAAGAATGATAACTATACATGTACATGTAAAGGTACATGTACGTAGTTTGTTATATCCGAAACCAAAAAATGAAATAAAAACAACAAAATATAATTAACGAAAAAGAACCCAATGCACACACACACACACATATACGTGTATGACGTGCCGACTGAACACCTTAACTTCCCACATGCAAATGGACACTTCTTGTAAAAGGGAGTTAGAGGCGAAGAAATGTTATCTGTTTGACTAAAAATAACAACTAAACATAGAATCAGACTTAATATGTATCGAAAAAGGTTTATTTCATTCCTTGATTTTTCACATACCAAATGAACACTTAACTGATACACAACCAATTGAACACTTTCATTTACACACTATCAACTGAACACTTCTAAAGCACACAGTCAACTGAGCACTTCTGACACACACTGTCATCTAAACACGTATAATACACACAGCCAACTAAGCACATTTAGCACACACACAGTCAACTTAACACCACTGATACACACGATCAACTGAGCACGTCTGACACACACTGTCATCTAAACACATATAATGCACACAGTCAACTAAGCACGTTCAACACACACAGCCAACTATAATCACTTCTTAAAGACATGCATGGTTACCTGTGCACCTCCAACACACAGCCAACTAACCACACGTGACACACACAATCAATTAACCATATCTGATACACGCAGTCAACTAATTAAAAACATCTTAAGTATACGATTAACAATACCATCTCCAGAGTCATCCGTGTGGCGCAGTGCAGGTTAGAGCGTCCTCTCTAGAGTCGCGAAGTAAGGAGTTGATCCTTACGTCGCGGGTTAGAATCCCACTGTGGGACCTGGAGACCGGTCCTTCGGATGAGACCGTATAAACCGAGGTCCCGTGTCGCAGTAGGTGCTGGCACGAAAAGATTCCTCACTGCTAAATTACCGTAAGTGTCGAGTACAGGACAAAATTTGCAACTCTCCACCGGCAAGTGGTGACGTTTCCATATAAGTGAAAAAATCTCGGGAGAGACGTTAAACAACATACAAACAAACAAACAAACCATCTCCAGATAAAAAAAAAAATTAACAAGATAGAAATATTACGTCGATCTGCCCCGTAAACATAGTCAGGTATACATATTCTTTATAGACAAAATTTAGCACATCCCGGAATTCATGATCACCGATCATCCGAATCGTACAAAAAAGTACCCACTCAGGTGTTTGGTTTTTCATGGTGAGAACACTTACATTGGAAAACGTTTAATTTTGTCAGTTGAAGCACAATGATATCAATAGAAATGAATCTTTTTTTTTTAATTTACTTTGAAAAAGTCCATTAATTTATTTTATTCTGAATTTTAGCACAGCCAAGAAATGTAAGGACATTGGCAAGGTTCCTGGTTATTGTATAGAATTTTTCAAGAACTTTCGAGTAGGTTTAAATGTACTAAATAGGCTATATTCTGGATCGTTTTACCTACCAATCCAGCATTCTTTTTTAGATTTTGTCAAATTAGTGTTTTTACAATTCTTAGTGCATTTCCTATGTAAAATGTTGATAAAAGGGACCTACATAATTTTTCACCATAATAATTCTTTAAAACACATTTATTTCATACAGTTTTTGTATTATAGACATTATTGTAACTTCATTTCCTATGACTTCTAGATATTTTGGTTGAAAATGTATATGTAGATACAAGACATGGATATCCCGGCACCGATCATCATTTTTGAGTTGCGTCCCTTAACAGCTAAAATTGGTCAAGAGACTGGTTGATTGTTTTTATCATGTAATTGACTGAATTGATTGAAACACATTGTCGTAAAAATATTGGCATGGATTTATCTTTAACTTTTATTCGTAATTACTAAATGCTGATTCCTTCACACGACCTAAGAACTGTTCTCAGTCGGCATGGTCGACCTACCTGTCAGCATATGTCACATCTTTGCCCTTCCCAGCATACTGAGCATAACTATGGTAAATGACGACCTTTTTGCTCTTTGTCCCTGAATACAATGTACAACAAAGCCATTACTACTTTTCTTTCTTGCTGTATAGATGATTCTACCCGTTGAAGGAAGTACACGTGCTTTTGTTTACCTCTATAACATACGCTTTATTGGTTTTCACCGCTTAGAGAATTCTACACGGGAGATCACTCTCAATCACTATTTTACAAGTGAAAAAACCCATGTATTAAACCTTTTTTCTCCGGAAAACCCTGACTTGCCAATGTCCTTAAGTAACAATATAGATATATTAGGAGACGTTCTACTTTCCAATTTTTCCGTTTGCACAACTTTCATTCATCGTGAGTTCAACGTCTGTTCACCATGAGCTCATAATGCGCTCATTTCACAGTTTTGCGTTCAGCGTTCACCAATTAACCGCTTGCGTTAACTGTTCACAAAGCATTGTTTTGAATATATTTTATTGAGTACACAAAAGGATAGGAAACAAGTTCTTAAAACTAACTAGTTATTTTCCTTATATATTACAATATTTCATGCAAATTAAAGAAAAATAATACAATTGATACAAGTGAAAATGCTATTAAATAACATATCAACTAGAGAATCTACATGTTTCGTCAATTAATATATGAACGTTAACAGCAGCAAATATACTGCTATTTATCTGTAAAGGCAAATTAACATCATTAATAGTAGATTTATATCAATAGTGACCAGTTCAAGCATGAACAAGCGATTGAAAAGATTACTTTTTGCATTAGAATAATTTTTGCATGCTAAAAAGAAATGTTACACATCTTCATGTTTTTGAACATAAAGGACTATTAATAATTTCCTTTATATAGATCATAGTTTAGTATACAGTAATGTCGTAGCTTAGTATGAATGATATTGATATCTCGCTTTACCGAAAGAAAAGTAGGATGGTGGATTTTTAATTTTTTGTTATCAATTTTTTTTTTCGAAATGTATGTTGAGATGGCTTTTCTGACCTCTGTTTTTAATAGTCAGGTATGACGGAATTTCTAAATAATTCTAATCTACATCTTGGAATTAAATAATCTTGTTTGTCACGGGTATTGCATATGGATACATTATCACGCTTTTTGGGAACACTATTATGCAAATATTCAGGTACTCTTCCCCTAAGAATTTTGAATATAGTAGTCATTTTTAAAGTTTCCCAACCATTTTCAGAATGAAGTGCTTCTCTAAACAAAAAATAGGTAGTCCTGTTACAATTCTAGCGGTGGAAAGTTGTATTTATTCAAGGTTTAGAGCAGCCATCCCAAACAACTGAAGCATATTCAGGATAGGTCTGATAAATTTAAAATTTTTGATGTTTTTCCTACCCATTTTGAACATCATATTTTTAGAGGCCATTTTTTTTTAATTAGCACTGCATACCGTTACAACACCAATAAACATAATATCAGACCTAATATGTCTTAAAAAGGTTATGTCATTCCTTGATTTTTCACATACCAAGTGTACAGTTTACTAATACACAACCAACTGAACACTTTCACCTGAACACTTCTAACTTACACTGTCAACTGAGCACGTCTGACACACACTGTTATCTAAACACGTACAATACACACAGTCAACTGAGCACATTTAGCACACACACAGTCAACTGAACACTACTGATACACACGATCAACTGAGCACGTCTGACACACACTGTCTTTTAAACACGTATAATACACACAGTCAACTAAGCACATTTAGCACACACACAGTCAACTTATCACTGCTGATACACACGATCAACTGAGCACGTCTGACACACACTGTCATCTAAACACATATAATAGATGTATTAGAAAACGTACTATTTTCCCATTTTTCCGTTAGCTCACTATTCTTTCACCGTGTGTTCAACGTCCGCTCACCATGAGATCCTCATGCGCTCAATATTCACAGTTTTGTGTTAAGCGTTCACTATCCGCTCGCGTTAACTGTTCACAAAGCACTGTTTTGAACATATTTTATTGAATACATCAAAAGGATAGGAAACAAGTTCTTATAACTTACTAGTTCCTCTCCTTATATATTACAATACAGTATGTCATGCAAAGAACAAGTCTCAATAAGCCTTATCTGTGGTCCCCGGTTACTCATCAAATTTTGAACTTTTATTAAAAACCTTATGAACTAAATTATATTATTAAGTGATGTTTTTATTATTTGAGTCAACATTCGAAAATGTCAAACAATAGGTATAGACAACATAAGAAGCTGCGTTTTGAAGGTGGGGTCCCTTGATTTTCATGAATAACAAAAGAAATCAGTTACAGGTGCACACTTCAAAGCTTTCGTGAACACCGAGCACAGGTTTGTTCAGAGTCGAGTTCGAAATATAATGTGTATATTATACATGTATGTATAAAGGTCCAGTGAAAATATCTTTGTTGAACAACCTTGTGCTCTATGTTTTCTAATTAAAAATATTGTGATTTTGAATATCTTCATTTACTCGCGATTAGCCTCATTGTGACCTGCTGAGAATCATAACAAGCCACGTGGATTTGTATCGTCACGGGTAAATGCCTCCAGTAAATGTGCTCATTCGCAGTTGAAACGTGTTCAGTTTTATATCGGTCAGCTTTGAGTTGTTTCGTTCATCTAAGGGCCGGTACACACGGTAAGGCTTGCCTAATAAGTCATGGAACTTAAGTTCTAGCCTTACCGTGTGTACACCCTTAATACACGTTTTTTCAAGCCTTATAAGTCTGACTTTCGAATAGAGCACTGCTCTATTTCTTAATACAGGACTTAGCTGTCATGTTCCTCTCAACCAATAAAATCCAATAACCCACAGTTCAATCTATTTTTATCAAACACGTGGGTAGATTGAAGGAAACATATCAAGTATATTCGAATGAGATGATGAAAATATCCGCAAATGCTTTTGTACAACCTCCTCTCTTTTAAGAAGTGTGAATGCACTGGTCGGTAAAATTATTCCAAAGTCCTAGCTAGTAATCTATGCTTCTGTTTTAATGATATACACTGTTTACGGCTCAAAAAGACGTGGATTTATGGAAATGTTGTTTATAATCTTGTAAGTCTTGCCTTACCGTGTGGACGCGAGAGCCGTACGTCCTGCTAAACGCAAGGTTTTAACTCTATAAGGCAAGCCTTACCGTGTGTACCGGCCCTTATTGTATAGCGTTTATTGCAAACAATTCGTAAATAGAAAAAAATTATTTGTAGTTGATTGTAAAGCTTGAACATTTAATTGTTTGCAAGAAAAATTTCAACAATGTTTCTTTCTGTCTCCTCTTTGAACCATATTTTTTTTTCACTCGAAAGGTCCGTTGTTTGTTTTTATCATGTAATTTATTGAACCTTGCATTTTTCGTTCCCGTGAATATTGTTTATTTCCTAACTCTTAATGCACCTTGCCAAAACACACTAAAACGTATAATTTGTACGAAA